AAGACTCCTATGCAGACCTTTTTTGATAGTATGCATATTGCTTACCAAAAAAATATTGATAACATTAAAACAGATTCTGATATCGGTTTTGACTTCGTCGATTCTTCTGTCAGTTAATTCATGAATGTCAGATCAAGTCTAAACTATTACAGCATCTTTATAACTTTGTGATGGCTTACAATTATGCTAGAAGACTCAAAACTCTCAATGGTCTTACACCTTTTGAATTCATATGTTTGCAGTTCTCCTGATTTATTTATACTAAGCCCACAGCATTACACTCTGGGACCATACAGTTTTCCACTATGTAACACAAGATCTTACTCATTCATAGCATTATATTCCGTCTCTAGACTACTTAAAAAATCAAATGCTTGTGCAGTGTAATGACTCATTAATTTATTTAATATGTCATCTGTTCTGGTAGAATCATTCAATTTAGTATTCATGTCAGCTGTTTTGGTATAATTATTCAATTTAGTATCCAGTTCAGTTATAGTATAATCATTCAAAAAGGAAACTATCAAGTCCTTCAACCCCTCTATTTTATAGGATAAATAATGAGTTTTAGAGTTGATATAACCGATATCTTCCCAGTTAACTGTTACTATAAGGTTGTCGCCTTCCTTCTCAATCCTGAGAGAGAGTGGATTATTAGTTTCATCGTTAAAATCTCTACCGTACATATATTTTGCGAGCTGACCAATTTTTGACGTACGGTATTGATTCTTAATACTCAATTCTACCATATTTTCCTCTTTTTAACTATAAAACCTCAATATCTTGTGCAAAGTGTAAGTTTGCTTGAACGTAAAAAAACACAGAGCATTACAGCGCTCTGTGTAACACAAGATCTTACAAATGCATAGCATTATATTCCGTCTCTAGACTACTTAAAAAGTCAAATACTTGTGCAGTGTGATGACTCATTAATTTATTTTGTATATCATCTGTCATATTACTACCATCTGTTTTGGTATAATTACTCAAATCAGTCTTCCATGCAAAAGTGTCATTCAACTTGTTGAGTAAGAATTTAGGTAATATGAACGTTTTCTCTGTTCCAATCACATTACCATGATCATCCAACATCGCATATTTTAATTGATTGATTTTACCTTCGGTAAGATCTAAGGTATATTGATGTTTTGTACTATCGTTATACTGTATACGCGCAATAGTATCACCTTTGTTTGCATTTACAAAACTTCCATTATCGCCTGCTTTTAAAAATTTAAAATGTGTTGTCATATTATATCCTTTAAACTATAAAATAAAAACCTCAGTATTATTGTTGCTTATTTGACAAGTAAGTAGTCATACTCAATTCTATTCCATGTATGCTAGAAAAGTCACTATATATAGTAAGATTATCTATGTAGCTTTTACTACACGTACGACCCTTTCTGTCGTATTGCATAAACTTAACGTTAGACAATTTGAATATGTTACCAACAATGCTAAAATAGCTATACCCAATATGAATACTCACACTATTACTCACTTGATGACTTAACCCAACTTTTAGTTGATATGCAGAATCTACTGATTCCTCTCCAAACATTTTGGTTTGCGTCACTCCTAGTCCTACTCCAACGTATGGGTAAAAAGAAAAAAATCCATTATCCTGCTGATAATAGACATTTGCCATGATAGATTTGCTTTCAATTCTATCGTTGTTCAGTTCAGTTCTTTTCATTTGTTCTTGTTGACCCTTTAACTTGAATGAAATGAATATTGGACCTTCCATCAATCCAACATTATCTACCTTAATTTGAGAACTTCTTAACTCCAACTCACCTTTGCCTAGTGATTCTCCTTGATAGCCAATAGCAACATTGGCAGAAAGCACAGAGTGATAATTTGGGTTATAATCAACAAGATTCATTATGTTACGATTATTATCATCTATAGTTACGTATTCACTTTCTTTTATTTGCAGAGGGCTAACATGGTAAGAAAACTCACCATTATATCCGCCTTTAAGATATAACCCACTAGCAAACGAGTGCTTTGATAACAGTAGAAAGAAGACTAACAATAATTTCTTGTTAATAATGTATGTACTCCTCTTATGGTAGAAAGTAACACGATAATATGAAATTATTAAAAATG